CCATGGTCCACAGCTCATTGACATTAGAAAGGGAACATACTTGAAAGACACTCCCACTGTAGACTGAACCCTGATATCAATTAGAATTTTTTCTTTTGTAAAAATCCTGTGTAAGTTTGTCACATGGTGAAGACTCCTGAAGGAGCATTAAGGATCTGAAAAGGATAAAGAAGACATTTACAACAGTGACACCCCAAGTAACCTCTAAAGAAAATGTTGATGTGCATATACAGAATGTAGATAAAACAGTGATGCTCACCATAGTTCACTGAACCCAGGAGCGAGTCTTTTCTGCATAAGAAGATATGGAGACTCCCACTTGAAGCAGATGTCTTTGTGGCACTGCCTGCCTTCTTTCTCAAAGGTGTAATTCGCTCATAAACCCAGTCTACACTTCTGCATGGCCATCTGTGTGTCTTGTCTGAATTCTTTTGTTGAAGTTGAAAGGATTGAGGAGGCAGGATCGGTTCCTATGGCATTGGGATCTAGCTTCCCAGTGGCAGTAAGGACCAGGAAGTTTAGTAAAGTGGAGATAAAATACCAGTGATTTGATACAGACAGTTTGGTTGACTGGCTGTTGGCTTACCTGAATATATTCAAGTGCAGCCAAGGGAAAAGGAATTCAAGAAACTGAGGCTAGGCAATGCTAAGATTTAGAAAGTGTACTGAAAAAGCACAAGTGTTGCAGGACTGGTCCCCACTCTGTGGTGCTATTAGGAAGTGATGGAACTTTTAAGAAATGGGTCCCAGGCAATATGTACTTGAAAGGGATATTGAGTCCTTGGCCCTTCTCAGTCTCTCTCTCTCTTTTTCTTCCCCCTCCCTCTATCTTCCCCTCTCTCACTTCTTAGTTGCTAAGAGGTGTTTAATTTCTTCTTTTCTGTGTTTCACCATGATGTTTTTCCTCATCTCAGGTCCAAAAGCAATGGGGCCAAGAGATTATGCACTGAAGCCTCTGAAACCATGGCCAAAAGAGAACTTTTCTTTCTTATAAGTGTGTAACCATAGGTATTTTGCTATAGTGACAGAAACTGAGTAATGCAATCAATTATTGAGGACATTTGTTGTAAAAGTTTTCAGAAAAATGCAGGGGTGACTAGAAAGGGAATGGAATCAAACAGAAGTTTGTTTTGCTTTATTTTTAAACTAGTGGATCCATAGGAGAATGTATTCTGACAAGGACAATTCAGAAGGGATGAAAGATTGATGACTGGAAGTCAGTGTGGAAATGGGAAGAGGCAGAGAAAGGTGAGGTGAGTTGGTGTGGAGGTAGAAACATTGGCCACATAGAGGTAGGAGACTAAACAAGCTGGGACAAATGCCCCTGGGTGGGCCGAGAAGATGCCAAAAGTGTGTGTGGGTTCTGTTCTGACTGCTCCATTTTCCCTGGAGAAATGTAAAGTAGAGTCATGAGCTACTCTGCAAGGACAGAAAAGGAGATGTTGAAAGTTTAAGAGGGAATCATAAGAGAAAAATGATAACATAAAAGAGTGGGGACATAAACAGACTAAGAAGATGGGTATGATTACTGAGCTGCCTTTGGGCCCACATCACCTTCATTATCAAGGACCTAGAAAGAGTTCAGTCATGTAGCCTCGCCCTTTCTCCAGCCATAGTCAGCTGCACCGGCTCAGGCTGCAGGAAGTGGGGGTAGGAATCAACCAGGGTTGTTTTTCCAAGTGTTGTGGCTTGTGGCTAGTGTCTCCCCAAAGCCTTCCCTGGTCATAAGTAGGGCTTTTTCAGAGGTAACTGGATCTAGCGTGTGTGGTGCTGGGATTAAGTGTGTGTGATTACTAAATTAGTCTACAGGTTGGTTTGGCATTGTTCTGGGTATGGATAGTGGAAAGTCCTACCTGGGTGTGAGTGGTACCACAGAGGGAGAGGGTAGCCTGGAAAGGATAAAAAGGAGAACCAAGCTTCTGCTGTTGCTGCCTCATACTTTACTGCCTTGTTGCTATCTTGGCTTCTGCCTGCAATGAAGTATTTTTCCTCTGCAATGTCCCTCTGTCATGCCACCTTGCCTTGGAGTCAGCCAGCTATGGTCTGCAATTTCTGCAAAATGTGAGTCAATATAAACTTTTCCTCCTTTAATTTTCAGTGATGGGTATTTTGTCTCAGCAAAGAGAAAAGTAACCAAGACATAGAGAAAGGACTACAGAGATGAAGATGTTTTCAATGGCTGCTAAAAGCAAATCAGCATGGAATTTACACTGTAAGAAAAACTGGCCTTGATGGGTGCGATGGTTATGACAGAACAGGTAATATTTTTATCTACATTCTGAGATGTGATTACTAGATTTATGGGATTAGAGCCTCCTGAGAAGAATATTGAGTACAAAACCCAGCAATATCTAGGATCTCATCTAATTCTTATATTAATCCTGTGTATTAATTTGCCAAGATCATGGCAGTAAATAGCAGAACCTGGATTTGAACTCTGTCCCTTGACTTTCTATCTGTATACTCTTTCCACTTAGGAGTGGCCAGTAATTTCCAGGGATGAATCAGTTAAATTTTATGGTTTTGAATAAATGTGTTAATAAGGAAATTATTAGTAGTTATTTCTTTTTAAAGCCCAGGAGACAAATTCTCATAATTCCTATGTTTCTATGGGAACATTTGTTAGCACGGAATGTAGCATTCTTCCTGTCATGGAATGTTCCATCTATAAATTCATGCATTTGCCCCACTAATATTATTGAGCAAATAGTCTCTGTGTTAAGTGCAGATTATACAATTTTTAAAAATCCTTCTTTTAAGAGAATCTTCATTCTGATCCAGAGCTTCAAAACATTGATCTACAGGACCTTTTTACGCCTGGTGCAATTTAAGGCAGTGCGTTTGACCTAGAATACACTCTTATCTCTGAGGACCCAGTTACCTAAGAGAACCTTCCTTTCCCTAGTGGTTGGTATGAAGCGCCATGAGTGGTAGCACCCTGGAGATGGAATTTTATATTTAGACTCTGGGTAAATGGACTCAGGGTGCTTTCCAAAAAAAGGATTTTTCTACTCCAAGAGGACGCAGTTTTAAAGCTGGATTTTAACACACCCTTTTGCTTGATATTCTACATTGCTTACTGGTGTGACACCACCCCTCTGCCAGCACTTGGCCCTGACTTTTACTAGAAATACTAGATTTGTACGTGGAGGTGGCCCACATTCTTCTACCAGGATGTCAGGCAAAGGTCAAAAAGGAAGGACTCTAGGGTTCAGCCTAGGAGGATGAAGGATAAAGTATCCAGAGGGTGGAGCAAATTTCTTTTCGTCTGGATCGATGATAAAAGAGCTGTTGAGCTATATAGCACAAAATGTGTGCAGTGGCCATTTCTGCATATAGAGAAATTCGTGCTATTTTAAAATGCTACTAATTAAGAACACCACTGTGTTCACCTCCAAGTCACCTGGAGCCTATTAGGTGAGGGCGGGGCTGAGCTGGGGGCGGGGAACTTTAGCTTTACTTTCCCATCTAGACAGTTGGTGCTCTTGGTGGCCATGTAAGGCACCTCCCTCTGGTCCTTTTTAAACAAATTTTATTTTTATTCGTGTATGTTTGCAGTAGATCATTATATTCATTGTGGGGAGTATTTGGTTCCCTTTTTCTCCCTCCAACGAATCACAGTATAATTTAAGGATTACATTCTCCCTCCCTTACATTTGTAAGTTTAAGAAACAAGTCAAAGTTTTATGTTAAAAAAAGACGAAGGTACTATATTTTATTGGGGTTTTAAAAGTCTTTTGAAACCCTACATGTATCCTCGTATCTAACTGGGTGACCGTCTCCGACTGCAGGGTAAATTTACTCAGGTCATTTCAGGGGCTCCGGGACCACACAGCCACTCCGTGCCCATGCAGCTTTAAGAGAAGGCGATCTGAGTTTGGAAGCCGGGGAGGTGGCGCCCGCTCCCCACTCCCTGCCCGCCGGCCCGGGGCGGGCGGGCAGAGTTTCCCGCGGCTGCCGGCCGCACCCTCCGCCCCGCCGCGCGCCAAGCGGCCGCCAGGGGTGCTGCGTTTCACACCTGCGGGAGGGAACGGCTGGGCGCCGCCGCCCGGCCTCTCCGGGCCGAGAGCGCGCAGTGCGTGCGGGGCTGGGCCGCAGGGACGCGCGTGGCCTCTCCCCTCCCGAAACGGGGCCTCCCGCCCCCGGAGCCCGCGGGCGACCGCGCGACCGGCTCCTTTCCGGGGGACGCGTGCTCGGGGACCTGGGGGCCCTGCAGCCCTCAGCGGCCCGTGCCACCCCGGGCTCCTCGCTCGCGCCGGCCCTGCGTCTTTGGCCACCCTGGGGCCCCGGAGCCCGGCACGCCCCCTGGCTCGGAGAACTTGGGGCCCCACGTCCAGTTAAACCCGTTTCCCGGTTCTCGCCGGCGCCGGCCGCACACTCGGCCGTTCCCCAGGTGCCCGCGCCGAGCACGGCGTAAAGGGGCCTGCGCCCCGCGGGCCCCGCGCGCCACGCCCGCCGGCGCACACTTGCCTCCGCCACGCGGGGCTCCCGCCCCTCCCCCAGCCCGGTCCCGGCCGCCCAGCCGGCTCCGCAATCCCGCGGGCAAGGCCCCCCAACCCCGGCCTTCTCCGTGCCCCGCGGCCGCCCCGCCTGCCGCCCGGCTGCGGCCCGGCCCCTCCTCCGGGCCCCGCGCCGCCTCCCTCGCCCCTCCCGAGCCGGGGCGGGAGCGGCGGCAGCTGGAAGGAAGGGAAGGGATGAGGTCATCCTCTCCCTCGGAGTCAGCTGGTGGAGGAGCGGCCGCGGGAGGAGGGAGCGCGCGCGCGGGAAGGAGAGGAATGTGCAGGTCGGAGGAGCCGCTGCTGCTCCTGCTGCTGGCGGCGGCGGCTCGAGCGGCGGCCGCGGGGCCGGGCCGGCTAGGAGCGCGGGCGGCGGGCAGGGGCGCGCGCGGGGCGCCGCGAGCAGCTTGGCTCCGCGCAGGCAGCCAGGCGGCGCTCCTGCCGGCCCGAGGCGCGCCGCTAGCCCGGCCCAGCGCCCAGCCCGGCGGGCGGCGGGCGGCGGCGGCGGGCGCAGGAGCGCGAGCGGGAGCAGGGCGTGCCGCGCGCCGGGAAGGGAAGCCGGGGCGAGGCGCGGAGGTGGCGGGAGGAGCGGACCGCGGGGAAAGCTGTCCGAGCAGGGCGCGCGCCCCTCCGCTCCGGAGGCATCATGGCCGCTAAGTCAGACGGGAGGCTGAAGATGAAGAAGGGCAGCGACGTGGCGTTCACCCCGCTGCAGAACTCGGACCACTCGGGCTCGGTGCAGGGGCTGGCGCCGGGCTTGCCGTCGGGGTCCGGAGCCGAGGACGAGGAGGCGGCCGGGGCCGGCTGCTGCCCGGACGGCAGCGGCTGCTCGCGCTGCTGCTGCTGCTGCGCGGGGAGCGGCGGCTCGGGGGCCTCCGGGGGCCCAGGCGGCGGCGCGGGGGGCCCGGGCGGCGGCGGGGCGGGCTCGGCTGCGCTCTGCCTGCGCCTGGGCAGGGAGCAGCGGCGCTACTCGTTCTGGGACTGCCTCTGGATCCTGGCCGCCGTGGCCGTGTACTTCGCGGACGTGGGCACCGACATCTGGCTTGCCGTGGACTACTACCTGCGCGGCCAGCGCTGGTGGTTCGGGCTCACGCTGTTCTTCGTGGTGCTCGGCTCTCTCTCGGTGCAAGTGTTCAGTTTCCGCTGGTTCGTGCACGATTTCAGCACCGAGGACAGCGCCATGACCGTGGCCACCGCCTCCGGTTACCCGCAGCCTGGAGCTGATTGCAAGACTGTGGTCAGCGGTGGGTCTGCAGCCGGGGAAGGCGAGGCTCGCCCTGCCACGCCGCAAAGGCAAGCATCCAACGCCAGTAAGAGCAACATCGCGGCCACCAGCAACAGCAGCGAGGCCACCCGGGCCGGCAGCAAACACAGGTCTGCGTCCTGCTCCTTCTGCATCTGGCTCCTGCAGTCACTCATCCACATCTTGCAGCTCGGGCAGATCTGGAGGTACCGTATCAGGGTGGGGGTCGGGGAGATTTGCTGCTGCTACTACTACATTTCCACTGCTTTGCTTTTGCACGAAAATCGTTTAGGGTTGCCGTGGTCGTGGCCCTGGTCATGCTCTTTTCAGTTGTTTTGGTGGTGTTTTTTCAACTGGGGCTGCAGTTAAAAAATATTTTGGGGGGATTTCTTTTAGGGTGGTAGGGAATAGAGAAAAGAGCGAAGAGCAGCAAAGTGGTTTCTCTCATCTCTTCCTTCTGTCTTTCTACTTTGCCTCACAAGCTTCTTTCTTTATATGCTACAACTCGAGCCCGTTTTTAGTGATACAGTTTCAGTGAATAGGAAAGGATTCACATTAATTTTCTAAAATTTCTTTTTATTATGTTGAATACTAAGTGCATGGTTTAATGTTGATGGTTTCTTTTGTTCCCTGGAAAAAATTACAAATTATAGTTAGATGTGAATTGTCTGTGCTCAAAATTACCCACATTTCAAATGATCACAGCTAGAGAAGTACTATACTTGAGGTAAAGTACCTAGCAGGAACTTGACTTTTTATATATACACAAAGGAATATATGTTATTCATAGATACGTATCTAACTATGAACAAGTACGCTTTAAGGGACTCAGACTTACTTATGTGGTGCATCTTCGGATCATCCTGCAGCACCTCCACATTTACCTCCCCATAACTGAGAACACTTGGTAGATCAGATGACAAGCAGCAAAGCAGCCAGGGAAGGTGCCAAGTACCATTAAAGTTTATACAATGTGCCACCCCTTCTCCAAGTGTTCTCAGGTTTTACAAAGTTAGCACTTCCACCTACCAACTGGAGTACAGGGTTGCACTCGTTGGGCAGAGAGAACCATAACTACAACACTCAAAACATAGACAGGAATATAATAAAATGATATGTTCAGGTATGTGTTCTTTTGACTTTTATATGTTTAAGTTGCTTTTGAAAGCAGTGCTTTACATCTAAAAAATTCTATGTGTGGTGATATATAGATACTAACAAATTACAGTATCTTTTTGGTTTAAAATTCCCTAGTAAATACATAGAACAAGTAAAATGTGGAAAACTTCTTAGAAAGTGCAAGAGTATAGAACTGTACTCTGCTGTACCAGAGTTCTTTTAAAATTTTTGTTTGCAGTTATTTTGTGATAAATGATATTTTAAATCACTGCCTGTGCTGAGGTATCCTGCAATGAAAACAGCTTGGAGCATACATGAACTAGAACTCCAAACTTGTTTTAGTGTATGATGAACTGTAGTATTTTCTTTTCTTTTTTTGTACCAGAGATCGAACTCACGACCGTGTACTTGCAAGGCAGGTGCTTATGCTGCTGAGCTAAATCCCTGGCCCTAGACTGTAGTATTTTCTCTGAGAGGAGCGAGTGGGATGATTCTCCACCTTTCCTGGGATGTGTGCTTTATATAAATTGTGAATAACTGACTTTACAGATAATGAAACTTTTTGTTTCAAAGCTGATATTTTCTGGAGCACAGTATGGCATGCGGTCTGACCAATTAATGTTGGAAACCTCCATATTTCAGATTCCAGGGAACTCTGAAATGTCTCAAGTATGAGAGCTCTGTTCCCCATCCATGACCAGTGGGAAGGCTTCCAGATTAATGTTCTTGTTCAAGTATGATAAAGAACTGGAGTGTTTAGTTACTGAAAGTATTATTGGCTAGGATGCACATCATTAGCATTTTTAATCTAATAATTTGGTAAATGAAGCTCACCATTTCATTTATTAACTTTTTCAAACTTTACGTAAGATTTGGATCCCGCTTCCTTTTAATCACCTTTAAAGATTTTAGATATATGTTAACCTTGCAAATGTGTCTTTCTTCTACCAATCAGAAACAATGCATGTGAAAGTTGATATCAACTTCAGTGAACTGAAGGAGATGTTAAAACTGTGTTTACTCGACATTTTCCCCACTGAAAATTATGCTTAATTTTCTCAGGAAATAATAGGCAGAAAGTGAAAAGTGATTAAGAAATGATAAGAACCTAAAAGCATCACAGTGAGACTGTGGTCTTTGGGTCAAGAGGTCTCACAGAAAAGCTACCCATACGGAGAAGAAATTGAAGGCTAGCATTGAATGAAGGAAGCAAGAAAACTGCAATGTATCACACATCTATCCCTGGGAGAAGCACATGGCTCCTTTTTTTGGTTGAGCATTTCTAGTGTTTGTCTCAGAGGTTTTTAAGTTTATTTTAATAACACAAGATCAAAAATATTATCAGATAGTTTTCAAACGTTTTCAATATGATGTGTTTAGTATGTAAGTGTGAATTGTCATCTGATCTAAGTATTTTTAGATTCTGGTTTAGGGTATTTGGGGAAGAAAGGGTAACCTGGTGAAAACTTTATGTAAGACTAATCAGGCTCATTTTCTCTTTATAAAGAATGTTTAAACAAACACTTTGACCCAATAAGTAAAGGATAAGAAAACTTACGGAATTTTACACTCAATTGCATTATAACATGTTCCTATTTCTCTGAGTGTTGAACATTTTAATGCAACTTGGGGAGAAGTAAATGTATCTTTATAATAAGCTGATAAAATGTGACTCATCTCAGATTGTTGAATTAGACAGAGTAGACACAAGCCACCATGACTTCTCAAAATACTACAAGCATACCCCTGCTTTTAGCTTTCCTTTTTAATATGTAGTATATAAATACTGCAGGACCAGAAGGCATTGATGATCCAAAGCTCAGAGGTCATTATTCATGTTTTAACATGCTACTTTCTGGAATCAATAAAATAGATTTTAGCTAGGTTGGTAACTGCTCATTGCATTTCAATGCAATTCTGAGTATTTCAGGGAAGGACTGGTTTCTCAAAGCTTTCTGTTGATAAGATCTTTGAAATAACATCAAAGTGTTTGCTTGTTCAGAAATAAGCCATTTGAAACATTGTGTAAGATTTGCATGTATTTGTACAAGTATTACAAATGCAACTGCTAAAAGCAATGATACATATTCATTTTAATTAAAGTTTACTAATGGGAAATTAATGGCAGCTTTTAAAGTCACAGGAGGCGATGCTGGGAAAAAGCCATTTGAAATAATGAAGTGAACTTTTGGTACCATGTGAAAAGAACAATTATTGTTTTAATGGATCTGTGGCTGAAAATGAAAAGAAAGTTTTTTTTCTTTATTATTTTCATATGATTCCAGAAATTACCTAGAATTCAGTTCAGCCCATGGAAATTAAAAAGCTCAATGAGAACAGCTTTTAGCCCTCATATTGATGATCAGTTATATCTAAATGTCTTTTCCTTTACCATTCGTAAACCTTACACTTATGGTTGTTTTCCTGAAAATATGAATATGCAAAGAATAAGCCAGTGGGTGCAGAGGTGGGAGTGTTTTTGCTATTTGGGGTTTTGTTTCTTGAGTTGCTACTATTGAGTCATGGGAAAAGGATGTGGCGAAAGGGCAGTTTGTTCTGCTCATACCCTGTTTGATGTTCCACAAGGCATTGGAGTGTGTTCCATGTTCCAATGAATGGAGGAAATGAAAGGCTAAATAAACTTAACATTTCTGTCACACAAGATCTCAGAGCCCTTCATAAGCCAATGTACATGCAAATAATTTTTAAAAGCACACCAATTAAATATGCTTGCGTTGATGTGATATATAAAGCTTTTTGGAAGTATTCTGCACCATCCTTAAACTTGACCAAAAAAGAATGATAGTAACAATTTTATTTGGACATAAATATCTGTAAATGTATTTTATACTCCTTATTTAGGATTTTTAATAAACTAAGGAAAAATTATTAACATCTCTATATGTGAAAGAAAAGAAAAACTGGACCATAGAGGTTGAGTAGCTTGGCCAGTGTTGCTCAACTATTAAAACAAGACTTGTCTTACCCTAAAGTCTGTGTCCTCCTGGCTTTGTTGACTGGCTTCATATGCTAACTTGTATAATAATGACTAAATTAAATAAAATGATAATTTATCATCCCAAGGATGACAAGATGACAGGGAGAAAGGGAGTGCAGTGCAGACTGGTGAGAGGATCTCTCCAATAATATACCAGTAGTTCAATAATGGAATAAGGCCTTAAGCTCAGATATGACTCCTAAGCCTAGTGTTCTTTTGTTAGATCAAATTCCAGCTGAGTGACTTGATCACAATGTTACTGCTGATTAAATGGCACAACGTACATAAGTTGGCAAAAAGTTATTTGCAAATGATAGAAGCGTTAGGAATTCGATAAGAAAATACTACAGATTATGTCCTTAGCTATTGAATTATGATGTGGTTAGACAAGAGTGGTGCTGTCTGATGAGTCCTTGAAGGGCTCTTTTCTGCTTTGAACTCATCAGATTTGGTACTTAATGCATTTCAATGTGAAAAATTTTATTCTGGTTCTCATCATTTGTTTGGTATTCAGTGTGTGTTAAGGACTGTTGATGTCAGTTGCCTCATGATTGGCTACACTCTCCAGCCACACAGTTCGTTTGGTCGTCATCATTTGATACTCTTCATGTTGATGAGTGCTGAGGTACCACTGTATTTGTGTCTGTCTCTTGGCATGTTGAGCACCTTGTTCACTGGACATGTTTAGTATCTACTACATGCAAGGCATTGTGCTATTAACTGAGTACAGTGAGGTGTGATTAAAAATACAGCACCTTCAAGTTACAAAATTATTATAGTAAAAGATACATTGCTGTTGATTCCCCTCAAGATACTCCTTCATGCTTCAAACACACTTATCCTCTGGTGCTGTCATTTTCTGGAGCAGTTCTGAAAGTCCTTTTGCATGAATGTCTTCTGTTGAGCTGTTATGGCTGCCTCCAAGTCATGAGTCCATTTAAAACGTGCACCTTCCCTGGACATTCTGGCTTTGGGGAAGAACTGGAAGCCACATGGTATAGATCGGAAAGTGAGGTAGATAAGACACACTATGATGTTTCCTGAAATTTAGAAATTTAGGATTTTAGAAATTCAGAAACAGAAATTGTC